GGCAGGGCTGATGGGGAGGATTATGGCTCTACCCCGTCACACACAGAGCAGGACCCGTGGGGGGGGCGGGGTTGGGGTGCCGCACCCTGTCACACACAGAGCAGGGCGGATAGGGAGGTTGTGGCCCCGTCCCCTGTCACACACAGAGCCGCAGGGCGATCAGGAGGTTTGGGCGCTGCCCCCTGTCACACTGATCCCGGTGCCGGGAGGCTTCGCGGCTCCACTGATCCCAGATTCGGGAGGGCTCGCGGCTCCACTGATCCCGGTGCTGGGAGGCATATTACCCTTTACTATATAGGATGGAGGCCTGGTGCACAGGTGGGGGCCGGCTGGTTTGCCCTGAAGGGTGTCCTGGATCAGGGTGGGGTCCCCACTGGGGTGCCTGGCCAGCCTGGATGAGGAGATGATGGCTGTTTGCAGCTGGTCACACACCCTTCAGGGTGGGGGTCCCCACTGGGGTGTCTGGCCAGTCTGGGTGAGGGGCTGAGGGCTGTTTTCAGGCTGGCAGGTGACTGAAGCTCCCAACTGCTCCTTTTTTTCTTTTTCTTTTTTATTCTGGGCCAGCTTTAGCTCTGAGGCTTGGCTCCAGCTCTTAGGCCTCGGCTGCTGAAAGCAGGTATCTGGTTTGTTTGGGTTCTATTATCGAAACACTGTTTCAACTCCAGCTCTGAGATCCCGGCTGGCTGAAAGCAGGTTTCTGGGGTTTTGTTTAGCTTCTATATTTTTAACAATGTTTCACACTGCAAGCTCAGAGGCCGGCAGCGGCAGGTGGGGAATGTTGGAGTCCTCCGTCACTGAAGCAAGCAAGCCTCGTGTTCACTTCAAGCTGCCTGGCTGCCGGCCGCCATCTTGGCTGGCAGTTAATTTGCATATCGCCCTGATTAGCCAATGGGAAGAGTAGCGGTGTGACACCAATTTGCATGTTTCTCTTTTATTAGTGTAGATGATTCTTGATAGTAGCCTCTCATTTCCATCTGAGAGGCTCTCTCTATATACATGAGCTGTAGGGTAAGCTCAGATGAGCCAGCAGGAGTTTTGGAAGCTGTTTTAGGGTGTTAAACTCATTTTCTGACTCCCTTAATTCTGGGAATTTCCTGAGTTATTTGGACCTAGAAGCTAATTCTAAATAACGATTTTATAAAATTCCTAACCATGTTATGATTTTATTCTCAGAATTAAGAGAAAGAGCGAGCAGCAACGTTATGCTGAAGAACAGAGGATATTAAGAATGAACTTTCATGAAGAGCCATATTCAGGGGAGAAGATGAGTGAGATGTTAGCGCAGCTACAGCTCGAGGAAATGAAAGAAGCCAGAGAAAAACACCAGCAACGAAGAGAAAGGGAATGCCAAAGGTACTTTCAAAATCCTTGCATGGAATTCTGGATCTAGAAGAGACTTGGGGAAGTCAGTGTTCTTCTTTTCCTTACAAGAGTTGCCTGTGTCTTTTCATACAACTTCACCAAGTACCTCTTGGGAATAGCACTACGTATTCCTATTTCTCAATACAAAAAGGAAGAGTCGAGCACAGAGGTGCAGAATAGTTTTAACCGTTAAAGCTGGAGTAAAATGGGGACTCGTGCTCATTCTGTTTCTAGTGGTTCACTGATCATACTGTGTTTCTATAGGTATCTAGAAGCTTTAAGGGTCCAGATCCAAGAGAAAATGCGGCTGTATAATATTACTTTACCTCCACTATGCGGCTGTGGTCCTGACTTTTGGGATGCTCATCCTAATACCTGTGCCAACAATTGTATTTTCTATAAAAACCACAGAGGTAAGTTTCTTAAAGGAACGGTTAGGGCCTGGTGGCAATTTTTAAAAAAGTAGTGATTGTAGTAATTTAGCATTTATTGAGTGCTTACTATATATCAGAGGCTGTTACAACCCCTTTACAAAACCACTCCGAGGCAATAAAAATAGATGATAGTGAGTTCTATTTCTCTTTGAGATCTATTATCATCCTTTCTCCATTTATGCTGGAGAAATGGTTCAAGCTTACTCTACTGTAGGTTCCAGGTTCTTCTGTAAATGAAGAATGTTAGTTTGCCTTTATGGCCATTAAGTTAGGCCTCTGTCTAGTTGAATTCCCTGTTATCCAAAGACTTTAATGTTATCTAACGCAGATTTATGACCATGTGTATCTACATTAGACTGCCAGTTCTGCCAGGGAATCCTGAGGAAAATGAGGACCAGTGTAAACTCTGTCTTTATCAGGAATCCCAGCTGGAGAAAATGGAGTCCTTTCTATTGTCACTAATGTTTCTGTTTCCTGTCCATCCTTAAATATATTGGTTTACATACTGTGATGATTATGTAGGCTTGATGCACGCACTGAAATTACTGCAAGTATATACATTCCTAGTGCATCTGTATGATAGGAGTTTCTTATCAGTTCTGTGAGTTATATTTAAAAAACACAGATGGATGCCTGGCTGGGGTGGCTCCAGTGGTTGAGCATCAACCTAGGAACCAGGAGGTCAGTGTTTGATTCCTGGTCCTGGGCTCAATCCCCAGTGTGGGGCGTGCAGGAGGCAGCCTATCTGTGAGTCTCTCTCATCACTGATGTTTCTATTTCTCTTTCCCTCTCCCTTCCTCTCTGAAATCAATAAAAATGAAAACCCTACAGATCTGATGATGCCATTGCCCTATTCTCAAATCTCTAGGTTTTTACATTTGGTATATTTTCTCTCTGGCCCCAGGCAAGACTCTCTAGCTTTATCAAACTTGCTATTGTGACAATACATGTCACATTTTTTGTTAGACCTTTGGAACCTCACACGTTGATACCCTGCCTAGAATGCCTTCTTTCCTTTACTCTTATTAAACCTTCAGACCATCTAAAATGTCCACTTCTGGAAATCTTTTCCATCCTCTCTTAGATAGTTTTAATTCATTCCAAACTTCATTATGTGGTGACATTTCGTGTATGTCTCTGGGTTGGAATTATTGCACTGCAATTATTTTTGTCCATCCTCTCCATTCTCTTTTCTATCCCCACGGTGAGTTTGGCATGTAGTAAGTACTCAATAAATATTTACTCAATAGGTAAAGTTAATACCTATGAGACTGGGTGGAGAAGCAGTAGTAATAGGAAAGAGGTTGGGAGAGTTGTTTAAAATGTGACTTCATTCATCATGGTTCAAACCTTTATTTGCAGCATATACCCGGGCACTATATTCAGTCATCAATTCCTGTGATAGAGGGACCTTGATTCTTCGAGCTGCCATTCATAATTTTGCTTCTGCCTACAGACGGACTTTGAAAAATGTATATTCAGAATCTGAAATCAACTGTTAGTATTTCAGCCTTCACTTAAAATCAATTCTCTGAGAGATTGTTTAGGAAAAACTGTTAAAGTGTATAATCTGGAAAGGAAGACTGTCCCACGTAACAACAGTCTCTGCAATTACATTGGAACCATTGTTTCAGTCTCCATCTTGGAACCACGATGGAAAGTTGACTTCCACACTTGCCTCTTTGCTGTGAACCATGTGGAGTTTATTGTTTTAAAAATGATCAGTCAGACCAGTAAGGTTTATCTTACTTTGCTCTGTTCTGATCTGAAGAGATCATGAGAAATCTTTGAGATTACCGTGTTTGTTGTCTTTCTAAAACTGTATCTTTGAGTCTTAACAAAATTGGAAATGTCTGGAAGAAGCAGAAAAGAAAGATGATGAAATGAGTTTCTTCGCATCAGTGGTCATCTAGATTCCTGATAGCTTTTCTAGTTGTATATAACAATTAGAGATGAGAAGGATTTGAATTTGATGCACTTTTTTTCTAAAAATTTCTTTGGGGGTTTTTTTGGTGTGTGTGTGTGTGTGTGTGTGTGTGTGTGTGTGTGTGTGTGTGTGTTTTATTACCTCTTTCCCCGTTCAGTGAATTGGGCATAAACCTTTTTAATTTTATAATTTTCATTGCCAAAAAAGGGAAAATAAACCCTCTGTCTTTTGAGCATCTTCTTTGTGAAATAATTGTGTGACATTTCAAAAGTGCGTCTGAAGTCAAAGTGTGAAATAATTGTGTGACATTTCAAAAGTGCGTCTGAAGTCAAAGTGAGTAAAATCCTGCCTCAGTTCCCAATCTTTTAAAAATTTTCTGAATGGCATACCTACAGAACAGATGACATAAAAATTCCTATAGCTAGTATTAATTTGTTATGTCTTTCTTTTTAATATATATTTTATTGATTTCAGAGAGGAAGGGACAGGGAGAGAGTGATAGAAACATCAATGATGAGAGAGAATCATTGATCGGCTGCCATCTGCACACCCCACACTGGGGATAGAGCTCGCAACGCAGACATGTGCCCTTGACTAGAATCAAACCTGGGACCCTTCAGTCCGCAGGTCAACGCTCTATCCATTGAGCCAAACCAGCTAGGGTAATTTGTTACTTCTTTATAATGCTTTTTGACATAAAATATGAAAAGGTTTAATATTGTGAATTAAAAGCATACTGGCAGTTTCTTTTTCATACTTTCTCTAATGATCATTGTTGAAGAGCATTTAGGTTATGTCTCAAAAACACCTGAACATCTAGCCACGTCATGGAAAATAAGGATCAAAATGATCTGTGTGACAAAATTTATTGGTTATTTAACTAGATTCATCGTCCATTTCAGTCAAAATCCTTTTTTTAAAAAAAATATATTTTATTGATTTTTTACAGAGAGGAAGGGAGAGAAATAGAGAGTTAGAACATCGATGAGAGAAAAACATCGATCAGCTGCCTCCTGCACATCTCCCACTGGGGATGTGCCCGCAACCCAGGTACATGCCCTTGACTGGAATCGAACCCGGGACCTTTCAGTCCGCAGGCTGACGCTCTATCCACTGAGCCAAACCGGTTTCGGCCAGTCAAAATCCTTAACAATATCCTTGATTCAGCCTTTAAGAGTTGTATTTTTTAACAGCTTTATTGATATATAATTCATAGGCCATATGATTCACCCCTCCTGAAGTATACAATTCAGTGGTGTTAAGTATATTCTAGAGTTGTTGCAACTATTACCATTATCAAATTTTAGAACATGTTTGTCACTCTAAAGAGATGCCTCCATGATCCAGCAATCCTACTTCTGGGTCTATATCCAAAAGAATTGAAAACAGGATCTTGAAGAGATATTTGCACGCCCATGTTCATTGCAGCACGAATTCACAATAGCCAAGAGGTGGAAGTAACCCAAATGTCCATCTATAGGTGAGTGGATAAACAGAACATGGTATAGACATAAAATGGAATAATGTATTCTTCAGCCTTAAAAAAGAAAGAAATTCTGTCACATGCTATAATATGGATGAGCTTTAAGGAACCATAACCTAAGTGAAGTAAGCCAATCACCAAAAGACAAGTACTGTATGATTACATTTATATGAGGCACCTAGAGTGCTACAATTCATAGAGACAAAAATTAGAATGGTCATACCCAGGAGCTGGTGGGAGGGGAAATGGGAAGTTGTTTAATGGGTAGTTTCAGTTTTGCAAGATGAATAAGTTGTGGAGATCTGTTTCACAACAATATTTTGATTAGGAAGTAAGGCAAGGGGTTTTTATGAGAAAGGGAAGGGGAATAATTACGTTAATAGAAGGAAAGAATTTCTGTGGGTGTTAATAAGCTAAGAAATTGCTAAAGGTGCCAATAAGCTACCATAGTGGTGATAATTCTGAAGAATGTTTTTAATTTTCAGTTCAGTAATCATAACAACTATGAACAACTGTAAACCTACTTTTGTCCCAGCCTGTACAGCCAGAAGTGGAATTGCTGGGTCTTAAGACAGTTCCATTTTTTATTTTTTAAGGAACCTCTTTCCGGTTTTCATAGTGGCTGCACCTGTCTGCATTCCCACCAGCAGTGCACAAAGGTTCCCTTTTCTCCACATCTTTGCTAACACTTGTTTATTGATTTATTGATGGTAGCCATTCTGACAGGTATGAGGGGATATCTCATTATGGTTTTACTTAGCATTTCCCTGATGATTAGTGACCTTGAGCATCTTTTCATATAGCTATTGGCCATCAGTCTGTCCTTTTTGGAGAACTGTCTATTCAGTTTCTCTGCTCATTTTTTAATCGGATTTTTGTGTTTGAGTTTTTTATAAGTTTTGGATATAAACCCCTTATTGGATGTATCATTGTCAAATATCTCCTTCCATTCAGTAGGCTTTCTTTACGTTTTGTTGATGGTTTCCTTTGCTGTGCAAGGTTTTTTAGTTTGATGTAGTCCCATTTGTTTATTTTTTCCTGTTGTTTCTTGCCCAAGGAGATATGTCAGGAAAATTACTAAGAGAAATGTCCGAGATTTAACTGTTTATGTTTTCTTTAAGGAGTTTTATGCTTTCAAGTCTTACATTTAAGTCTTTAATCCATTTGGAGTTTATTCTTGTATACAGTATTAGAAGGTGGTCTAGTTTCAGGGTTTTTTTGCATATATTTGTTCAATTTTCTCAATGCTATTTATTGAATAGGCTGTCTTTACCTCATTGTAGGTTCTTCCCTTCTTTGTCAAATATTAATTGATCATAAAGGTGTGAGTTTATTTCTGGGCTCTCTATTCAGTTCCATTGATCTATATGTCTGTTTTTATGCCAGTACCATGCTGTTTTGAGTACTGTATCCTTATAGTATAATTTGATATCAGATAGTGTGATACCTCCAACTTTGTTCTTTCTCAAGATTGCTATGGCTATTCATACTTTTGGTTTTACATAAATTTTGGATTATTTGTTCCAGTTCTATGAAAAAGGCTATTGACATTTTGATAGGAATTGCATTGAGTGTGCAGATTGCTTTGGGTAGTGTGAACATTTTAATGATGCTAACACTTCCATTTATTTTCTTCAGTTTCTTCAGTATCTTATAATTTTCCAAGTATAGTCTTTTACTTCCGTGGTTAAATTTATTAGCAGGTATTTTATTTTATTGGTGCAATTATAAATGGAATTATTTTCTTAGTTTCCCTTTCTGATAGTTCATTATTAGTGTTTAAAAATGCAACTAATTTCTGAATATTTATTTTGTATCCTGCTACTTTACGTAATTCATTGGTCAGTTCTAGTAGTGTTTTGGTGGAATCGTTAAGGTTTTCTCTATATAGTACATGTCATCTGCCAATAATGACAGTTTTACTTCTTTCTTTCCAATTTGGAGGACTTTGATTTATTATTCTTGTCTGATTGCTGTGGCTAGGTCTTCCCGTACCATGCTTAATAAGAGTGGTGAAACTGGACATTCCTGTCTGGTTCCTGTTCTTCAAGGAAATGTTTTAAGATTTTGATGGTTGAATATGATGTTAACTATAGGTTATTATATATGGCCTGTATTACTATGTTGAGATGTACTCTTTCTATTCCCACTTTGCTGAGAGTTTTTATCATAAATGGGTGCTGGATTATGTCAATAGATACTTTTCCTGCATCTATTGCTGTGAGCATATGATTTTTTTTTAATCCTCAATTTTTCCATTGATTTTAGAGAGAGTGGAAGAGATAGGGAAAGACAGAGAGAAATATCGATGTGAAAGAAACACATCAATTGGTTGCCTCCTGCACGCACCATGACCAGGGCCTGGGTTGGGGAGGAGCCTGCAACCGAGGTACATGCCCTTGACAGAAATTGAACCTGGGACCCTTCGGTCGCAAGCCGATGCTCTATCCACTGAGCCAAACCTGAAGCTGTGTGCCTCTTACTGGATGTATGATCATATGATTTTTAGCCTTCATTTTGTTTATGTGGTCTGTCATGTTAATTGATTTGTGGATATTGTATCAATCTTGCATCCCAGGAATAAATCCTACTTGATCATGGTGTAATGTTTTTGCTGAATTCAGTTTGCTAATATTTTATTGAGAAATTTTGCATCTATATTCATAAGGAATATTGGCCTATAATTTTTTCTGTAGTGTCTTTATCTGGTTTTATAATTCGGCTAATGCTGGCCTTGTAAAGTGAGCTTGGGAGCCCTGGCCAGTGTAGCTTAGTTGGTTGGGCATCATCCCGTTCACCAAAGGGTTGCCAATTCGATTCCCAGTCAGGGCACATGCCCAGGGCACAATCCCCAGGAGCGACATGTGGTATGTAGCCGATCATTGTTTCTCTCCCTTCCTCTCTCTCTAAAAATCTAGTGATAGGTTTTACTGTGGACAGTGAGGTAAGGGTGGGACAAGTTCATTCTGACTTCAGCACTGATCTTGTCAGAGTAGATGCAAGTTCAGGAAGTCACAGTGGACTAGGAGGGCAGAACAGAAGAATGGAGGAAAGTATGGGCATACGTCCAGTAAGAGGCACACAGCTCCATAAAAGCTTGGCTATGCCATTCCCCAGAGGGACTTTATCACTTACAGGATCCAGACTAGGAGATGGAACATATATGTGATAGAAGTAATGCCAGAATGTGGTGGTGGCAGAGGATATTCATGTACTAGTTTTCCTGCAACAACAAAAATCAGAAAGCTGATGCACAACATATTTTCCTGCACATTCCAACCTAAACAGCTTGCACAAATTGCTCTAATTTAGTCAACTCTGTCCTCTCTCTTGCATTGTTCCAGTTTATTACTTAATTGTCCAGGCCTCACCCTTGCCTTTTATGATGGGCAAGAATAAGATTGCCAACTTTTATTTTTGGAGAGAGAGAGAGAGAGAGAGAGAGAGAGAGAGAGAGAGAGAGAGAGAGAGGAAAACATCCATGCACCCTGACTACAACCTTTTGGTGCATTGGGCAATGGCTCCAACCAACTGAACCACACTGGCCAGGGTGATTGCCAACTTTTTTTTACTACCCACTGGGTGAAGAGTCTAGAAACTGCTGCTTTTATGTTTTCTAACCATGTAAGGTGTGATAAAGGAGGTAGCAGTTATTACTTTTCTGTGTTTATTTATATAGATTCTGGTTTGGGAAGCAAACTATTTCTTTTAGTTTTCCTCTAAGTGTAGCGAGCATAATTTATTTT